TAACCAAGCAGAGACTGCTGTCTGCTGGGGCCTCTGATTGAATAGTGTTGTGCTGTGATTCACTGAGAGACAGTAAATATAATGTATACATGACTGTGTTAAAGGTTTGTCCAGAAGGTTGACGGGGGGGGGAATGTATATACCACCTTTATGTTATTCAAAATCTGTAGAATCACTTTTCATGTAGTTAACAAAAACAAACCTGTTTTACCCCCAATGCTTTTTAGCATTGTATTGTTTTTCCCCTTCAAAAAGGGTTTCCTTGTTATTTAAACTCAGTTTTTTATACGGTTTTAAATGCCTACCAACATCCAAGTGGGACCACAACCATTGGTTACAGAACTACAGGACAAGATAAGCTCTGATCATTAGTGATTCCTCATCAAATATCTAAGAAACTAGAACAGCTTTCGGTGCTGCAAAGTCCTGCTTATTTCAGGAGGTAGACGAAGCTAAAAACATCCAAGAAAAAGAGAAAAAAAAATGGCCTTATATAATTTCCTAAAAAAAAAAAAATCTCTGTAAAAACTTGAGATTTGTTGTGAATATTTTCTATTCTGCTTTTAAGTGTTTACATTAGTTGTCGCTGAAAATGTTAATGGAATGCTTGTGTCGTCCAGAACTGCCTGCTGGCTCCGATCTTTTTGTAACATCATTCTTATTGTTGCGTGTTGCCTAGCATAGCACTGCGTGTTCCTGCTCATTCATTTACTTTTCGTTTTGTTTTCTTTTGTTCATTTGTTTCACTCGTGTTGATTTTCCCCCCTGATTGGGTGGGTGTGCAAAGCTCGGGCCTCTTCAGCTGGGTGTCACAGGGCCCAAACTTTGCTCCGAATCTGTCTTTGACATTTCGAAATATCCCTTTCAGAATGGACTGGACAGGAGGAGCGAGCGACTGGATTTCTTATTATACGCGGCTGATTTCGTCCGGTGCTTTGTGAGTAATGCTCTCCTGGACGCTGATGTTTCACCAGGCAGGGTCCCTGGACGACTTGTATTCTACTTTGGCACATTCTTTCTTCTAAGAGCTTAAACCGGTGTCGCCATTTAGAAAGAGGAAGGTGGATTGTTCTCACCAAGAGTTGACTTCTATGTTTGCACAAGCTGTGTTTTTTAAATGTAGAATAAGTTACTTCGCCCATTATCGAAGAATGTTCTTGCGTTAGCAGATACACCGATGTGTTTTGCCATTAATGAACTGCTATAATCTTCATAAGTATTTAATATAACATTTAATAAAGTGACCAACACAATGAACAGCGAGTGTGGGAGTCCTGCTTATAGACAGCTGTTTGCAGTTTCCTTGGAGGAATGTTGGAGTTTGAGTTACTCCTTGGTCATTTCTGCTCTTCCATTTAATCATTTATTTCAAATGGAAAAAAAAAAATCAATCAGGAAACTCCAAGGGATCACTCCCAATCTCGAAATGTCTGTTTGCTTTCCTTAAAGTCTGGATCAGTGCGGGGCGTGGCAAAGAAAATAAAAAAATCTAGACTCATGATTCTAAAAGATTTTGAAGCTTAAACCAGCTTTCACAACTTAAATTTACATCTTTGGTCTTTTGAAATGCCACATTTAACAATAAACATTTGTTAAAACAGTAAAGATGGCATTTTTTTTTTTAATTTTTTTTGCTTTTTGTCATTTTGACCTTAGTTTGGAGTTTGGGTCTGGAGCCGAAGGCGGTTTGAAACTGGGTCTGGTGTAGATTTCAAACGGCTCTAAGATGGTTTAGTTTTATGCACAGAACAAGGATATGGAAAATTCACGAAGGTTGCTTTAAGGAATTGAAATTTAGTGCGGCATTATTCATTCCATATTTGACAAACGTGTTGGTGATTTTGAAGGTGACGTACCGTGCCAGAAAACATAAAAATAAGTAGCCAGTACCATTTTACCATGCTGCTGGATCGGAAGCCGTTCCTGGCATCCTCTTGTAACTTTAAGCTTTATAGAGCACGAAAATAATAAAACCCAAATGGCTACCTCTTTTCCTGTTCTTAAATGCGCCTTAATCTCACCTTCTGAAGCCACTAACAGTTTTTTTTCCAGAGTTTTTTTCCTATGGATCTCTTTAGCTCCTGATTGTTTTCCTCGCCCGGCCTGTTCTCCAACGCACCTGAATCAAATGAAAGCCAAATCACCAGGGATGGGAAGTAACGAAGTACAAGTACTTCTCATGTAACTGTACTTAAAGTGGGTTTTTACCTTGGACTTTGATTTTTCAGCTGGTGCAGTTTGACTTCACACAGCACCGTCAAACCATCCAAAGCCTTGAAAGACTTGTTCCCCTCCTCGCCTGCGGGCGGCACTGCGCCAAGAACAATCGAAGGGAACGACGTGGAGTGGATTTTGCGGTTGTAATATTTCTCTATTGTCCACTGGCTGTTTGTCCCATAAGTGTGTTTTGTTCTGTTTTTTTTTATCCAGAATTGAGCGATTTATTTGTATAGCACCTTTCACAGATAAAATCACAAAGTTCTTCACAAAACATTTTGGAAAAGCACATCAAGCATAACATGAAAGTAAATTAGTTAACTCCTTTCAAAATTAGCAACACGGTGTGCAGCAACAAGTTGTCTCCTTTGTGCCGCACACCTGATGGAAGTAATGAGTGATTTCTGTGCTTCAGCAACACGAGACGGCGTACAGAGAAGGTCAAGCAGTCGGTGGAATCGGGGTGTGCTGGACCAGAGATGGATCTAAAGGCTGTATGATGGGGAAGCCAGGATGGAGAAACACCTGACAGACACATTATGAGCAACTGTCTAGTTCGCTTATGCCTTGGACTGGCCCTGCCTCAGAGATGGAATCCCCAGCTGTTTCTCTTCCTCTACCAATTAGAGCAAAGAGTTTTAAAGGGATTTAACAAGGTTTGAGACGGAAATTGACAAGACGTGCATTTTGAAACACTGCAGCATGTAAGCCTGTTTTATCGGACACGCCCTACATCTTGACACATTGTCCACTTATTTTACATTTCATACTCGAACCTCTCTGTCCCACTCTCTCCTCCTGTCCATCTTTCATCTATTTTTCCCCCTCGCCCGGTATTGTTTTCATTTCTGACTCTGCCAGGGTTTTCCCCCTGCATGTCTTTGACTTTTCCATTCCCTCCCCCCTGGGAGAGCTTGCTCTCACAGTGTACTCATATCTGCCAGTAAAGAGAAACATTACAACTATTGCAGATGTTGAAATGTTGATCCCATCCTATCGCAAGCCCCAGATCACCACCACCAGCTCAGGTCTGTGGCACATCCCCACTGGCTGTCGGCGCGGCGGGCAGCTGCTTCTGTCCATTCAGAATAAAAAAAAATAAAAATCTGCAGCAGAGGCCCCGGCAGTGAACAGCCAATCACTTCGCCTAATCCACCCTGATGTGTAAAGCCAATTAGAAGCTGGGATCCAGTTGCAAAAGGAATCTGATTTTGTACGGTGGATGTATGTGGGCCAAAGCCTGTGGAGACAGAAGGAGCCTGTGTGTATCGCTTCACAATACGAATCTGACGTCTTAAGGGGTTTATGAGGGTAAACGAGCATTGTAGTGGTTTTCGCAACTGGAAAACTAATGCATGTGCTTTGGCTTTTAAATACACTTAGTTTGATGTTTTTAAATATGAACACCACAACCAGATGTTGCTCATAGCACCAGATAACAGGATTCATTTGCAGTTTTGAAAGGCTTGGAAATGTGCAACATTTCATTTCAGTATCTTTATGCTCCAGATAAGAATGAAAGACAATCGCATGGTCCTGGAAAGAGTTGGTGCAACCAAACTAGTTGTCTGAGAAGTTTACCTCTAGTTTGGACATAATTAACCTAATGTCAGCGTTCTTTGTATACCATATCAAATCTTGAATTTAAGAGGCTTAGCCATCTTGGGAACCATACATTTGACCTGATGGTCACTGACAGATGTTACACAGAGAGATGAAAATGAGGGAGAAGTATTGATTCCTCTTTTACGTTTCTTACAAATAGAAATAGTGAAAATATATTTGCCCCTTTACAAATGTTTTTGTATTTCTTCCCTTTTGACTTTTTTGCTGTGTAAAACAAAATATTTTCAAAAAAGTAAATGCAAAATGCAGTTTTGAAAATCGTTTTATATTGGAAAGCATAATTCATGGTTTTGTTAATGACTCCACTCCACATCATCTTGAAGTAGCAAAGCAGCCCCAGACCATCACTCTTCCACCACCAGCCTGAGTCTTTATGATGTCTAGATGCAACAAGACTTGCAACATCCAGTCTTAAATATTTTGTCTCAGTCAACAGAAAAAAAAACATTTCCTCAATTCTTAGAGACCATCAGTATGCTTTTTACCAAATGTCGGATGGACCTTTGTGTTCTTTGCAGTCAGCAGTTTTTTTTACCTTGGAACTTTCCCATGGAGGCCATTTTAGCCCACTCTTTTTTTTTCTTGTTGAAATGTGAATTTTGATATGCTGGCTGCACCTAAGAGGGTTCACCGCTGTCCCATGTTTTCTCCATTTGTGCAGAATGGGTCTCACTGTGGCTTTATTGAGGGTTTGGAAATGGCTTTTCAGGCTGATGGACCTTTAATTTCTGTAGGCCAGCAGAATGACATGATGCGTTACTTTTTGATATTATTAAACCTTATAATAATATCTTATCTGACAGATCTTGTTGGGTTCTTGTTAAGTCACTTCTTAACTTTACAGATCTTAGACGGTCGGCGAAAAAATTAAATGATTTGAGAACAGCTTTTCAGATTTACTCACATTCTGTTTGGCCATGACAATTTGTTTCATGATCTAAAACATTTTAGTGTTGAAGAAATCACAGAATTGCAGTCTGTGGTTTTCCACTTGCATATTTAAAACCGGAGCAGATTAGAAGCATTTGGTGTAATTTTAAATAGATTTTTTGTATTTATGTTGGAAAAGGTGACCAAAAATAGAGAAACCAACTTTAAAAAAAAAAAACATAATGGATGAAAACCCTGTTTGAAAATACAATGAAAAACACTTCATACATAATATATCTGGTTTTAATTAGTACATCACACTTTAATCCAAGCAAAAATGGTCTCTCACAGTAAGTTCTCGATAGCAGGACAATTTTATTGTCATGTCTGTTGCAGTTCTTCTCTTTTTTTTCTTTTTTTTTTGCCTCATTTCAGTAGAATCTGCAGTCCAAATATCTTCACGTTCATTACAAAATAAACTCTTTGCAATAAATAAATATATAGATTTACATTTATACTTTATATGTAGAAAATAAATATTTTGTACATTTCATAAATAGGAACACCCATATGTACACCTCAAGACGCTTGCGTGTTTTTGTTTTTCTTTTCTTTAATAATGTTCGCCGCACTCTGAATATTACAAGTCGCCACTCTTTAACCAAACGTATCTGTTATTCCTTTAAACCGCAGTCGGTGAAGTGCTTACGTCCCGAGCCTACTGAATTTACGCTTTCATTTAAATGTGATGAATGTGATGTTTAGGTTCAAACCAGACACACAGCTGGGACTTTGGATGTTTAGGTAAGTGCTTCATCAGTCCTACAGTCATTGCAAAGATGTTGCCCTCTTTTTCCATCTGAGACGTTCGCCTTTTGGTAGTTTTTAATCTGCGTACAGATTGTGAAGTACCTGATTACACCAAACTTAGCAAGCCAAACCCTTCTTGCATGTCATATCAGAAATGTCTGCAGCACTCCTAAAAAGGGAACTTCCTGGAGCTTTACTAGCCACGAGATTTAGTTTTTTAAGTTTTTTTTTTTTTTTTTTTTTTTTGCTTTAACACGCAAGAAGCTCCCACACCGTGTGCTGTTGCATGTCACTCAAGTGTCTGTGCGAGAGAGAGAAAAAAAAAACCCTGGCATCTTGGTTTGGTTTTCCTGATTCACCCCCAGCTGCTTAGTCCTCCACAGAGGAAGCGGTTTCCTCTTCGCTGAAGTCCAAAGCCCAGGCAGACGAAAGACATCCAGGATCGAGCTGAATGTTTATGTCCTGGTCACTTGTGACCTCCGTGAGAGCTCAGGGGTAAACAGTTCTCCACAAGATCCAGAATATCCACAACACCCCCACTCTCTAGTCTTCCGCCTCTTCGACTTTGTTTATCTCTGGGGCTCCAGATGTAACCAGTTCTCCCAGTGTGAGCGCTGGTCACCTGTCCTGGAGCAGATCTCTGTACGCCCGAGGCATCTTCCCCATCTACACCGACCGTGGCAAGAAGTGGGTGAGTTTCTGGTGTTTCTTAGTCCTGCCACCCTCCCTGGGCGATCCGTCCTTGTTTAATGCCACGTAGTAGAAGCGTCCCGTGTCCGTGTGCTTGTACAGTGTCGACGCGTAGGTGTTGTACCAGTTCTCCTCAAAATGCTCCCTGAACACGCACTCTGCTGTAAGCTTACTCTGCAGAACAGGAAACATGAAGTTAGCTCAGGAGGACAGACAGAAATTCACAGTTTTCACTTCTTCACCTTGCAGTCATTAGGTTTAATGTATTTTGCTGGGATTTTATTTGTCAGAGCAACACACGGTGGAGCATAACTGAGAAAAAAAAAGTTGTGCATTTCCTTTACTTTAACTGGGCTAGTCTAACATATAAACATGCTTCAGTGTAAAACCGGGGTCTTCAATCCAGATCTCGAGAGCCAATGTCCTGCAACTTAGACCCGTCTTTGCTTCATCACACCCGAGTCAAACAATCAAGTTATTAGAAGGATCTCAGCAAGATATGGAGAGCTTAAATAAAGACTGAGGAGGCAATTCAGTCATTTGCTTCAGGTGAGTTGGACCAGAGGTTAAAAGTCGCTGAGTTCTGGATTTGAAGTCCCCTTATTTAAAGCATTTAATATTAGCCCTTACTAAATGTGTAGACATTGTTCTGCTAGATGGTGAACCTTTTCCTTGGTTTCAAGTATTTCGCAACCTCAAAATTTTTTTACCCCAAATGTCCGTGTATTTAACTGCATTCATTTATACATCAACTCTGTCTTCGCTGAAGAAAAGCTTCCCCACAGCATGATGCTTCCAACTATTACTGAGGGGATGGTGTCCCCATGGCACTGAAAACTAACATGTGGTTTTAAGTCACTCAATCAAGTCCACCAAAATCTTCAACCTTAGCCTTACTTATGGTAGATGACTGCCAACCAGACTTCATATAACTTTCTTTTCTAAAAGCTAAAGGCTGTCTGGTTTTCAGACACTTCAACTGAGGTCATTTTTCAACTTTATCTATTTTCTGATTATTCCTTTCCTTTGTATGGCCACATCTTGGTAAGACTGAATTTGTACCATTACCTTCAGATTTCCAGACAATTGATGGAGCAGGGTTTTGTGAAACAATCAAACTTCAGAACATTGATTTATAACTTAATCCTGCCTTGATCATCTCTGCTGTGCTCCTCAGTCTTCATGATGCTGCTTGTTCCCTGTTTTTTTCTGAGGCCTTCACATACCGAGTATTAAATTGTTAGTCGTTTGCAGTCGATCTTGTTAAAAGTTATTGGAGAAAAAAAAAAAGAGCTGCTCTAAACATGTGCTGCATTTACAGATTTTTTGTTCATAAAAAGTCAAAATAAATTTAGAGTTTTTCTTCTAAATCACTGACATGCAATGAAGTTTTGTAGTAATGAGCTAAGATGAGAAGATTCAAGGTGTGTGAGATCCCCACAGTCTCCACTCCTGATATGAACTCATTGAAAAGCTTAACGGAGCAGCACAAGCTCATTTGGGCTGGAGCTCATTATGAAAGAAGAGGGGAAATCATTACATGCAGCGTTTCACTTTACGCTCCACTCTCACTCCTCAGACCTGCTGACCTCTTGCTGTGGATGGAGAATCATTTCCCTCCCTGTGATGCAACGAGAGCAGTCGGCATACCAACACACTGAAAGCTTTTGTGTTCACTGACAGAGCAATATGAACAATGGCTGCAGGTTCAGCAGGGGAGAGGGAGCAGGCTGGATTTAAAGCACGAGGAACATGACAGTCATCGGAGCTTCCTGTCTTTGCGGCCCTCTCTTTCTTTCCCACCAGGCTTGCCTGTGCTGCTTCTATGACTCTTCACTTCTACGAAACTGCTGAAGCAATCTCGATGATTGGCTTTCAGGCTGTGCTTGGCTGCTCTGTGCAGGAAGGCTGTTGTCTGTAAACACAGCCTGAAGGGCACATGACTGGGCCGGCTCCATGCTGACACACATCCTCATGCACACACACACACCTCATCGGATCAAAAGCTCGTCGAGGTCTGCTGCTTGAGGGACGGAAGCGCCCCTCTACCTGTTCAGCTTCCCCTCCCCCCCCCCTTCTGGACTCTCGCATCCAGACAGACATGTCGACATCTCCCCTTCTGTCAGTCAGGTGACTCAGTCAGGTGTGCAATTTCCCCTCCACACAACCACCTCTGACCTGCACCCACACCCTCCTCTCGGGGCCAACCCCCCCACCCCCCAGGATGCCAGACTCCGATAACGTGCAGTAACAATATCTGCACTTCCAGCATAATGGCCTACTTAAAGGTAGCCTCTTTTCAAAAACGATGAGAGCAGGGGCCGGCCCGCGAGAGGCCCCCAGGTAATGCCCCGGGACACCTGATACAGGATTGCCCTAGCGTACTTCCCCTTCCACTGCTTTTATCTCTTCCCTTCCCTATGTCCCTGTCTCAAGGTGTGTGTGAGACCTGAGGATGTACACTGACCAGAGGAGGAAGCCACATTTACATCCAAAGTGATTCTGGAACCTTCTCTCTCCTCTTTGTGGCATATTTAAAAACCACAGGAAGACACAGGGTCCGTATCCTCCTTGAACCCTTGCAGACAAAGAACAAGCATGAAGAGAAAAGAGCACGCTTGTTTTGTCTCGTAGTTTTACCACTAGCCACAAGAGAGCTTTGATTAAGATACAAATAAGCTATGATTCTGGATAGAAAACTGGACCCAAGAAATGAAGAAAAGAGCATTTTCAAAGCGTGACAAGAACATGGTGTGTTTAACTCCACACGGGTCCTAGACAGCCTTGAAAGTATCTTAGATAAGAATGAAAAAACAAAATAGAAAATGAAAACAATTTTCAGGCTTTTTTTTTCTATCTCCCATCGTGCCCATCCAGTTTACATATTTTAAAACATAACATTTGTGCCTTAAAACTGCTTTACAAGTACCAATAGGTGGAGATTTTTATTATTCATCCATACATCCCCCCGCCCCTCTCCTGCAATGGCTCTGCGTGCCCCACACTTTGGGAATCACTGGTATGGAGTGAGATACCGTTTTCATCAGCAGAAACTCACCGATCCATAGAGCTCTCCTTTCTCATTCATGCCCAGGTAGAGTCCAGCATCCACCCCTCTGATGCTGACCAGCCCCACCGCCAGGCTGATGAATTCCAGGATACCTGAGGTCAAAAACACACACTGAGACGTCAACAGAAGCCCACAGAACCAATGTAATAATTTTAGGAATCTCCTCCCATTAGCACAAGTCGTTTCTGTCTGTTGCACTATAACACTGGTTATTTAAGTTTAATTGAGGACATTAGCTTGGTTGAAAATGGTTTAGTGTCAGTGTTAATGATAAAGTTAAACTTACCAAGTTGGCTTTTCAAACTAAAGGCAGACATTGCCAAAGAAAAGCTATTGTCATCTGAAACAAGAATGTTTTACATTCAGCTTTGTTGGAATAGATTTCCCGTTACATGCTTTAAGACCAAATCAGTTCTTATTTTTTTGTTTTCTGTAAACTTTGAAGGAAATCCAAACAGCCTCTTTGAAAATCAAGAGATTCTGAACTTTCTCAGTATGGAGCTATCATTCAATACTTGTTTGTTGTATTTAGGTAGTAAAGCATAACTTGAGAAATATTGTAAAGCACACATGTATTTAGAACTTAATATTTAGAAACTAATTAATTTATCAAACAATATTAAAATGTGATCAAATTTAACTAACTTTGTTTGGGAAATACACTTTAAATACTGGTTTGAATTTGTCTTCAAAAGTTTCAACTTTCCCTCAAATACTGATAAAAATCTACCTCAATAAAACAGATGTTCAAATTGTTACAATCACGTTACTGACTAAATGTTGACCCCCAATAACAGTTCCTGTCATCAGTGTGAACTGTTAGAATAATAGCGTTCAGAGGAAATGAGGAACCCATTTTCAAAATTCAGTCATCGGAAGCAGACCAGCTTATATTGTGATAATCGCTCGGTTTGAAAGTCATGACTGAGAAAATAAGCTGGAAAAACACGATGGCGAGTAAGTAAGACTGTCATATTTCAACTAGTAACACCATAAATATGTAACTTGCTCTCCGTTGATTGCAGCACATTTCCCTTAACTGCGATGACTAACCAGCTTCTTGCTAGTCTGTCATAATGACGTGAGGTTTTCTGCAAAGTTCCCCAGGGACTTCTGGCACAGCCTGGGAAGACACTTTAATGAAGCTGGTAGATGGTTACAGTGAAGGCAACTTCAAAGGCAGGGAGACAAGTGGTGAAATTAAAAGCCACTGGGTGTTGTGATGCAGAGGTTTCTCAGAGAGGATCCAGCTGGCTGCTGTGACTGGCAGGGGCCAGCTCATCCAGCCACCTGGCCTCCATCTCCACCGACCTCATCAGATGACAGAGATCATCCCTCTAATTTTTTTTTTAAGAGAGTGTGTTTCATATCCTCTAATCAAAGTCTCCTCTCGCTTGGCGCAGCGAGGACGACCTTGCATTTTCTTTCATTCTTTCCTCTCTTCTTTCTTCCTTTCTCTCTCTCTCTCTCTCTGTCTCTCTCTCTCTCTCTCTCTCTCTCTCTCTGTCTCTCTCTCTCTCTCTCCAACTTTAAGTGAAGCCAGACAGAGACAAACACGCGGACCACCCATCCCCTGTAAAACACCGACTTATTTTTTTGGCTCAAGCGTGAACATTAAACCGCGGCGTGGATTCCGCGGTGGTCACGCTTTAACTCGGAGTTATTTCGTCCCGCAGCGAGCGAGCCGCGCGGCCCGCACCTGTGACACACGCGGCGCCTGGACATGTGCGCGTCTCTGCCCTGTGACCCCCCCCCCCCCCCCCCTCTCACCCTCCGCCCTCAGCGCCCGAGACAGACTTTATTTCACAGGTGACACCGGCGAGAAAACAACAGCTGAGGCTCAAAACATGGGAGATGGAGAGTCTGCCTATTAACGGAACGGGCTTATCAGCCGGGGAGGGGGACTGGCACGCGCACGCGTTGAAGCTGGTCGTCACGGAGACGCGCACGCGCACGCTTTATTTAAAGCGGCGAGGGGGGGGGGGGGGACACCTGCTGCCCGGGTGCCCGCGAGCGCAGAGGTTTCCAGAAGAGCCGCGCGGCTGTTGAGCACGAGCGAGTTGACCGAGGAGGAGGGATGGATGCGCCGCCGGTGAAAAACAAACTCACTTTGTTTTACAGGAAGAAACTCGTGAACCCAGACGTTTCGAACCGCATTCAAATGTGTACAAATACAATAATAAATGCGCCTAAAGTTAAGGAGATCAATAAAGACATAAGCACGCCAAAACAGAAACGAGGGGGAAACATTTAAAACAATAAATTAAATGAAATGAAACTTGTGCCAAAGAAACTCACCAAATCTGCTGTGGTCCTGCCGTGTCCCGTGCACGGTGCCGTTGGGGAATATCTCCAGCTGAAAGCCAGTCCTGCAGTAGAGCTGACGCCGCCTCAGGATCCCCTTAAGGTGGCCGAAGTCTGTGGGCGACCCCTGCTGCAGCCTGCCTTCGATCTGCCCCAGCCGCTCGCTCAGCCCCGCCGGAGACTCCGACAAGGGCGCGCTGGCGAGCGCCGGGAAGCTCTGTAAATCCAAGTCGAGCGTCCCCAGAAAACTCCCGACCTCTGCCATCGTTTGCACAGCTGTCACATTAAGCGAAGGCATTTGAGATGTATGTATGTGCGGCGACTTGTGGAGGGAGAAAAGTTTACACACAAGTCCGGTCCATGCACGCAAGGGGAAAAAAAAAAAAAAAAAAAAAAGAGAGCGTCCCCGGCGCGCCGTGCTCCTCCAAAGTCAAGGAAATCCTCTCAGTTTATTGATAGTCCTTTGCTTTAATCATGAGTTTGATATCTGTGTTTATCAAATGGAAAGACTCTGATATATACATACTCCCCACGCATTCTCACATTGGACACTCAGATTCAAGCCACGCCTGGCTGGCATCCCTTCTTACGCGCATCAGTTTGCTTTACTTAATCTTCACTTTTTGACCAACTTTTTGGAACTCATGACACAAATTAGTTCAACGCTCTTCTTATAGAAAGTTCTCCTCTTTTTCTTTTTTGTTTTTAATGATCCGATCACTTCAATCCATGTGCAAAAGTGCCTCCAGAATGCGTCCTCTTCCCTCTTTGCGGTTTTCCGCTGTCTGTCAAAACCGCAGCGCCCGTCCAGTGGCAGAAGAACCTGGCAACGCGCGGCGGTCCATTAAACTGCGGCGCAGATGCAGAAGTGGAAACTATCATGATGAAAACGCACACATATCAGCTGACTGCGCCTATTTAACCGCTAACCCCAGCAGCCCCTGCAACCACTGAAGCCAAGCCTTCTTTATGTCGGCTTTTGGGTCAGAATCCTGGCTTCATGGGGGGGGGGGGGGAACCGCAAGAGAAACATTTACATAAAAGGATTATCAAAGTAACCTGTGCACACGCTCACAGTAATCCAACCTCCTGCACGTTTGAGGGACCAAGCACTGCAAGTTGGAGCTTTTTCACGGGAGCATTTTCCCCCCCCACCTCCTCGCTGGAAGCAGGTGCTTTCTTACCCTCTCTGCAAGCGGTTTGCAGTAAGCTCCTGCAAGCCAGCAGCTTAAACCACTGTCTTCTGCGAGGAGGTGGGTGGAGGGGAGGCAAATCCAGATGATGTGCGGAATTTAGTCTGACTGCACAGAGATTTCTTTTAGTAATTTTCAATTTTTTTAAAAAAAAAGAGATGGTTTTCAGATGTTTTTTTTTCTATGATTGGCATAAACTGACCTCCGTCCATTTTTAACTCTCGTCACATTTTCTGTCCCTGCTGGACAAAAAAAAAAAAAGAAATGCATGTCCACAGCCTAATACTGCCACCACCATGTTTCACAGTGAACATTGTGTCGTCAGAGTGAGATGTAGAGTCAGTTTTCTGCCAGAAAGTTCAGCTTTTGGTCTTATTGATCCTCATGTCCCTGGTTTGTGACAAAACTACTAACATGGCTTCTCTTAAGATTTCTTCCTCCCTAACCTGTCTGCTGTATTTGTTTTTTTTTTGTGTGTGTGTGTTTTTTTGTCTCCATGATGCCATTGTTCACTAATGCTCAAAACTCCAGTGCTTTAACAAAACAGCTGTAATCATCCTGAGATTAAACTATAAACAGGTGGACTCTTACTTAATTTTTATTGCACTTATTTGGGATATTGGAGTAACGCTGGCTCATGAAATACATTCAAATGTGTGTTTGTAACATGGCAAAATGTTCTTGAATACTTTTAAGATGAAATTTAGAGCACTGATTTTAAATGAGCTTTGAAAAAGGGTCAAACACATGAAAACTGAGAACACAAGTTTTTTTTTTTTTATACAAAATTAGAGTTAGTGTTGTTGGATAAGAATGTTTGATCTGTGCCATCATGCACATGAAAGAGAGCACCAAGAAACCCATAACAGGACTAATATAATAATCATAATTTATGACTGATTGGGGATTTTTGCACTTCTTCTGTGCACAATGGGACAACAAGTTCCAACTTGTGTTTGTGAAGTTTCAAAAAAAAAAAAAAAAAAAAAAAGAAGAAGAAAAACACAGCTGTTTTGTCGAGGCCTTTATTTCTGTGTGATGATCCAAACGAAAACAAACTCCAGGAGTGTTTTAATTAGTTCGCCGCTCCTCTGGATATCAGTGACAGCGGGTCCTGATGGGAGGAGGGCGTGATTACATCAACAGCACCATTTAACTATTAGCGTGTTATTTCAGACCTCCTTCGAGCTGCTTTCTGAAACCCCCGTCCTGAGGGGGAGTTCTCACCTCGGGGCTGCTGCTCATCGCGGGCTGCTGCGGCTTCCCTGCAGAGAAACGTGGATTTATGACGGAGCCTCGCTGCCTGAGAAGGCTGACAAATAGCCAGCTTTAAGTGTGTGTGTGTGTGTGTGTGATTGTTTTGATGTCACCGTCAGGATTTAGATGAATTTCCTGACTTCTTGTTTAGGGCTAATTTATCAACTTTTGTGGAGGTGCTGCAGTCTATTCTCAAGCAGATGTTAGTGGCTGAGAGTGGAATACACAGTGATGGACCCTCCAAAGCACGCAGGCCTTTTTTCACTGCTACTAATTATGCCACTATAAATCTTAGGGGTGTGTCACGGCTGCATTGAAGTCAGAGGAGTGACGGTGGCTTTCAGCTGGTGCAGTATATGAAAGGTGGTGGGGGTGATGGATGCCCCGTGGGCCTCACGGTTGATGAATTGGGCAAGGGGTTGACGAGGAGTCACCGATGGTCAGGCTTTGTGCGAAAAGACACCAGGGTCCTCGCTGCTGAGGAGGATGAAAGGAGGATTCGTCTCAGCTGTAGGTTGGGAGGATTAGAGAAAGCAGATGAGAGGGGCAAAGAAAGAGCAAAGTGAAGCAAAAAATGGGGGGAAGGAAACTCGTCTTCCTTCTGACTTTTGCTCACTGTCCATCAAGTTCATGCAAAACTTAAATCCCACCTCACAGTGGCATGCTGAACTTTTATTTCTTTATCATTGTGGCTATTACAACTACATCTGTTACTGGTCAGTCACATTTAATAGATGACACGGCAGATATATAACTGCGAATTAAAAAAAAAAAGCAACCAAGAGTTAAAATGTTCCCATATGCTGAGAACCTGCAGAGGATACGGAGAAGAAGAGAATAACCTCAAGCGCACGGCCGCGGCTTTGAAGTTACTCTCTCATGAGTCACTGAGAGTGAGTTCACACTGAAAATGAAGTTACACTCGCATTGGGAACTGGGGACTAATAGGAGCCTCACCTGTTTGTTTGGATTAGACAAACTTCACATGTGTCCTGCTCGGAGAGGGGAGCCAAGGTCTGCCTGGAGAAACCGAGCCGGGATTCAGTTGACTCAATTATGAAGCCTTGGGTAGGAGTTGGTTACAGAGGTAAAGAAACCTCTCAGCAGGTTGGAAACAAAACCTAAGCAACTGTGGCAGTGCCTTTAAAAGTTAGCACACCCCTCCCTCATTTTTGGTTTTTCTTTTGCCAAACGTTGATGTGATTTATTAGGACGTTCCAACTCTGTGTCTAGAAGGGTAAGAAAAAGGATTCAAGCACTCCAATATTTCAAGAACAAATAACAAAAATTGGAAAAATGTCTGTGTGCATTTATATTTAACCCCTTTATGCTTCCTTTAGAAGCCACATAATGAGTAAGTGAGTCCGCCTGTGTTTAATTTACTCTCTGGGCTGAATAGAGACAAAACCACAAGATCTTTGGTTTTTCAGTTTGTCACTAACGAGATCCACCAAACGTGGAACAAGGTGCTCTTGTCAGATATAGTCAAAATGTAACTTTCGGACCGACAATTTATTTAACTAACTTTGCATGTCCATCTAAACCACCCCTTCATTTTAAACATGACGTTGGCAGCATGATGCTGCGGAGAGGCTGTTCTTCGGCAGAGACGAGGAAGCGGGTATGAGTGGATTTGGAAACAAAATACTTTAAATTGGATGAAGGTTCACTTCCCCGCAGGACAACTACGCTAAACGTGCAGCCAGAACTACAGTGGAAAAGTTTTTGTTCAAAAGGAATATTCATCCGTTAGACAGTCAAAGTGCAAAACCAAACTAAAAGTACGTGGCAACATGTGAAATATGTTCACTTTCCAACTAATCTCATAAATGTTTTGGTCAAGAGTGGGCAAAAGAAAAAAAAAAGCAGTCTCTAGATGGACACAGCAGGAAGACAGGGGTTGAATAAATATCCATGCCGTTTTTCGAACTTTTACTTCTAGTAGATTTTAAAAACCATGTGTCCTGTTCCGTCTGTGATGCAAAACTATTCCCACAACATATAGGGCAATATTTGCACCTGTAAACAAACCCCTGCTCTTTTTCAGCACTTTTGAGCAGACGATATAAAGTGCTACACAAGTACAGGTCATTTATCATGATTCTTCCACTACCATGTTTTACAATTGAAATGTGTGCCTATGGCAGTACTGTCTTTTTTAATTATTTCTTTAACTTTTTTTCCCCATAAATATCAAATATTCAACTCTATTTTTTTTATTCGCTAGTATTCCCTAAAAAAACAACAACAACAAAGAAAACAGGACTGAGTCTGAATTAGACTCAGAGCTCCATTCCCAGTGATTTATGAGGACAGTCAGTGGTACTGGACAGTCAACCAATGGTGTAAATGGGGCTGAGTACAAATGAGACAAAGTCCAGATATTTCTTTGGAATATGTGTAGAAGTCTTTTATCATTTTCTCTCAATTTCCTGACGACATATTCACGACTTTGTGTTGGTCCGTTTCATAAAATCTCAGTTAAATGAAATGAAGTTTGTCGCAACTTGACAAAATGTGAAAAAGTTCAAGTGTAGTGAACGCTCTCTTAAACTTTATCAGAACGCATGACACAAGGTAACTGAGGGGCAAACTGAGAGGTTAAAGTTCAACTTTTCACGTCAAGATGAAGAATAAAACATCCAGAGTGACTGCAGCTGCAGGAGTTTACAATAGTCTTTACGGTTTAGACGCTCAATTTTCCTTCTCATTTGCTCCAAAAGGTGAAAAATGTCCAGATTCCAACATCTGCCATAATAGCAACAGAAGAGTCAGTGTTTGCCATTAATCTTTAATGAATGCCCAGTTTAGAAGACGGACCCCCGCTTTTCCTAATCCGTCTCTTCTAATCATCAGATCTGGGATCAGGTCCTCAAACCCCTCTTGACCTCAGCCTTAAGAAGAAGAAAAAAAGAGCTGACTCAGTGTTAGCAGCTACCACCAGGTTAACAAGGCTACTAAAGGGGTCAGAGCCCCTCCGCCCCTCCCTCCGCGTCCGCCGGCCAGCAGAGCTGCGCCGCTTTACATTAAGACAGTTAGCTGCAGACCGGTGGGAAAGGCAGAATATCATCTGTTCTTATTTTACCTTTTGTCAAGCAGCATGTGGAAAATGATCTTCGCTGTGAGTTATTTGCAGAGCTGGATTCCGTGTTATTTCATTCCCAAGCAGAGACATAACAGAGAGGGTCTCTACTTTCACGCAGGTGGTCCTCCGGCCTTGTTCAAGGGCGCCGTGTGCGTTGGGGCGGGGGCTGGGAGAGGGGACACACAGACAGATGCATGCGAATTTAGGTAATGGTGTTACATTTCAGCGCTTGCTTTACTTGGCCGGCCCATGTAAAGATAGTGTTAATTAATTTGTTTGCTTTGCTTTCAAGCACCAACAAATGGAGCCCTCCAGGTTCAGCGAAGCCACTTGTATGCAAAGAACAGCGTCTAAAACCAACATTTGTTGTACAAAT